AAAAATAACAATGAATAATTTGAAAAAAAGGAAAAAAAAAATAATGAAGAACTTATATAGCAAAACATAAAGCCAAATTTACAGGAATGACCTCGAAAAATCTGACTTTCCCTCCAGTGCTTTCTCCCTTGCCGGTCTCACCTCTGTCGTGAAGTTTTCCGAAGTTTCCCCTGTAATGATCTACGCACCGACGCACGTGTTCCTGTTTTAAGTATGAAGTTAACGCAAACATCAATATTTCATAACAGCGTGACGCGTGTTTGGACCTGGTTACGTTAGCGTTACGGAGGGCAATGGAAAGTGAATACTAATTGGATGATAGTGATAATGATAGTAGTAGTGATAACAGTAAGCATCATAACGATAAGAAAAAATCGTAAAGGCAATAATAAGATAATAATAATAATAATAATAATAATAATAATAATAATAATAATAATAATGATAATGATAATTATTATTATTATTAAATGATAATAACTATTATTATAAAGATAAAAAATACAAATAACAATACTAGTAGTAATCATAAAAACTGCAAAGAGGTCGCTGGTTATACGCTCTCGTTTTTTGTAGTTATTCTTATTATTTATTTAGTCACTCTTGTCACGTAACTTTAGGATAACAAAGAAAAGGGAATGGCGAATTTAGTAAAAAAATAAATAAATAATAATAATAATAATTAATTAATTAATAAAAAAAATAATAATAGGGTCGTTTTGCGAACCAGAAGTGTTACGATTTTTTTCTTCTCTTTTTTCATGTCTTTCTTTCTCTTTATTTTTCTCTTTTTTTTTTTTAACTTGCACCATGAATCTCTAAGTACAAGCGGAAATACGTGATCTGATCGTACATTCTCTGCGCACGATGTTAGGTGATGTGAGCGATACTGATTACTTTTATCTTTTTTTTATCTTTTTTTTAAGTTTAGGCATGTTTTGGGTTAATGATCAGGATCGAGTTACGGTAAACTTATGGTAAAAATAATGATGAAAGATAGGAGGCTGCGAGATGGAGGGAGGGAAGGAAGGAGGGAGAGAGGGAGGGAGGGAGGGAGAGATGGGGGAGAGGGGGAGAGGGAGGGAGGGAGGGAAGGAGAGATGGGGGAGAGGGGGAGAGGGAGGGAGGGAGGGAGGGAGGGAAGGAGAGATGGGGGAGAGGGAGGGAAGGAGAGATGGGGGAGAGGGAAGGAGGGAGGGAAGGAGTAAGGAGAAAGAAGGAAAGAGAAAGGGTGAGGGAGAATGAGGGAGTGAGGGTTTGACAGAGAAAGTAAGGAAGAGGGAAAGAAAGAAATAGAAAGAGAGAGAGAGAGAGAGAGAGAGAGAGAGAGAGAGAGAGAGAGAGAGAGAGAGAGAGAGAGAGAGAGAGAGAGAGAGAGAGAGAGAGAAAGAGAGAGGGTCTAATGACATCCCACTCGCAAAACAACCCGAAAAGAACCATCATCTAAGTCATTAACGCCCTTCTTCGGTACCATTTTCCTTCTGATGAAAATTTAACCCAATTCCGCCCTTCTTTGCCCGTAGATGTCGCCTCGGGGCAAGGTCCTCGCGTAAACAGGCGTGCGTGTATGTATGTGTGTGTGTGTGTGTGTGTGTGTGTGTGTGTGTGTGTGTGTGTGTGTGTGTGTGTGTGCGTGTGTGTGTGCGTGTGTTTGCGTGTGCATGTGTTTGCGTGTGCGTGTGCGTGCGTGTGTGTGTGCTTGTGCGCGCGCGTGTTTGTGTTGTGATCTTTTATGTGTTTTTTTTATATCTAGGACTATGCCTTATATGTTTCTGTGCACGTCTTTGTTTAAATGCGTGCTCGCCTGCGTGTTTGTTTGAATCTGTCCATCCGGATAAAGGCAATAAATCCTCTTACACTCTGTCATCCGTCAGTAACCTAACGGAAAGAACCCGTTCGTTTAGTCAGCTTCTCCGTCAGCTCAAGCTCACCATGTTGGCAACACTGGTGCTAATACCTGAGTTTTTTGTTGTAGTTGTTGTTTGCATTGTTGTCGTTTCGTTATATTCCTTTGTATTGTTAAAGAGAGCAATACAATATCCCTTTAGTTATTTCAACATATGTAACTAATCAGTGTAATTTAGATACGAATCTTAAAAAAAAAAAAAAAAACATATATTTCTAAATCATTAAATCAAATAAATAAAAAATCAATAAAAAAAACATACATACTGGAAAAAAAATTAACAAAATCAATAAAGAGCAACACGTTGCCACGCCTCTTCCGCCAGGTGGCAAGGGGGGCGGGGAAGGAAGCATCACCCTTATAAGATGTCTCGAAGAAACCTTAAGAACGAAAGCAAAAGTGATGCAATGTGACGTCACAAGGTCACGGGCCTTATAACCGTTGCGTGGAATTAATGTTGCAGTTTGTTTGGTTGGTTGGTTTTATTTCCAGTTTTAATTTGTGTGTGCGTGTGCGTGTGCGTGTGCGTGTGTTTGCGTGTGCGTGTGCGTGTGCGTGTGCGTGTGCGTGTGCGTGTGCGTGTGCGTGTGCGTGTGTTTGCGTGTGCGTGTGCGTGTGCGTGTGTTTGCGTGTGCGTGTGCGTGTGCGTGTGCGTGTGTTTGCGTGTGCGTGTGCGTGTGCGTGTGCGTGTGCGTGTGCGTGTGCGTGTGCGTGTGCGTGTGCGTGTGTTTGCGTGTGCGTGTGCGTGTGCGTGTGCGTGTGCGTGTGCGTGTGCGTGTGCGTGTGCGTGTGCGTGTGCGTGTGTTTGCGTGTGCGTGTGCGTGTGCGTGTGCGTGTGCGTGTGCGTGTGCGTGTGCGTGTGCGTGTGCGTGTGCGTGTGCGTGTGCGTGTGCGTGTGCGTGTGTTTGCGTGTGCGTGTGCGTGTGCGTGTGCGTGTGCGTGTGTTTGCGTGTGCGTGTGCGTGTGCGTGTGCGTGTGCGTGTGCGTGTGCGTGTGTTTGCGTGTGCGTGTGCGTGTGCGTGTGCGTGTGTTTGCGTGTGCGTGTGCGTGTGCGTGTGCGTGTGCGTGTGCGTGTGCGTGTGCGTGTGCGTGTGCGTGTGCGTGTGTTTGCGTGTGCGTGTGCGTGTGCGTGTGCGTGTGCGTGTGCGTGTGCGTGTGCGTGTGCGTGTGCGTGTGCGTGTGTTTGCGTGTGCGTGTGCGTGTGCGTGTGCGTGTGCGTGTGCGTGTGCGTGTGCGTGTGCGTGTGCGTGTGCGTGTGCGTGTGCGTGTGCGTGTGCGTGTGCGTGTGCGTGTGCGTGTGCGTGTGCGTGTGCGTGTGCGTGTGCGTGTGCGTGTGCGTGTGCGTGTGTTTGCGTGTGCGTGTGCGTGTGCGTGTGCGTGTGCGTGTGCGTGTGCGTGTGCGTGTGCGTGTGTTTGCGTGTGCGTGTGCGTGTGCGTGTGCGTGTGTTTGCGTGTGCGTGTGCGTGTGCGTGTGCGTGTGTTTGCGTGTGCGTGTGCGTGTGTTTGCGTGTGCGTGTGCGTGTGTTTGCGTGTGCGTGTGCGTGTGCGTGTGCGTGTGCGTGTGCGTGTGTTTGCGTGTGCGTGTGCGTGTGTTTGCGTGTGCGTGTGCGTGTGCGTGTGCGTGTGTTTGCGTGTGCGTGTGCGTGTGCGTGTGCGTGTGCGTGTGCGTGTGCGTGTGCGTGTGCGTGTGTTTGCGTGTGCGTGTGCGTGTGCGTGTGTTTGCGTGTGCGTGTGCGTGTGCGTGTGCGTGTGCGTGTGCGTGTGCGTGTGCGTGTGCGTGTGCGTGTGCGTGTGCGTGTGCGTGTGCGTGTGCGTGTGCGTGTGCGTGTGCGTGTGCGTGTGCGTGTGCGTGTGCGTGTGCGTGTGCGTGTGCGTGTGCGTGTGCGTGTGCGTGTGCGTGTGTTTGCGTGTGCGTGTGCGTGTGCGTGTGTTTGCGTGTGCGTGTGCGTGTGTTTGCGTGTGCGTGTGCGTGTGCGTGTGCGTGTGCGTGTGCGTGTGCGTGTGCGTGTGCGTGTGCGTGTGCGTGTGTTTGCGTGTGCGTGTGCGTGTGTTTGCGTGTGCGTGTGCGTGTGCGTGTGCGTGTGCGTGTGCGTGTGCGTGTGCGTGTGCGTGTGCGTGTGCGTGTGCGTGTGCGTGTGCGTGTGCGTGTGCGTGTGCGTGTGCGTGTGCGTGTGCGTGTGCGTGTGCGTGTGCGTGTGCGTGTGCGTGTGCGTGTGTTTGCGTGTGCGTGTGCGTGTGCGTGTGCGTGTGCGTGTGCGTGTGCGTGTGCGTGTGTTTGCGTGTGCGTGTGCGTGTGTTTGCGTGTGCGTGTGCGTGTGCGTGTGCGTGTGCGTGTGCGTGTGCGTGTGCGTGTGCGTGTGCGTGTGTTTGCGTGTGCGTGTGCGTGTGCGTGTGCGTGTGTTTGCGTGTGCGTGTGCGTGTGCGTGTGCGTGTGCGTGTGCGTGTGTTTGCGTGTGCGTGTGCGTGTGCGTGTGCGTGTGCGTGTGCGTGTGCGTGTGCGTGTGCGTGTGCGTGTGCGTGTGCGTGTGCGTGTGCGTGTGCGTGTGCGTGTGCGTGTGCGTGTGCGTGTGTTTGCGTGTGCGTGTGCGTGTGCGTGTGCGTGTGCGTGTGCGTGTGTTTGCGTGTGCGTGTGCGTGTGCGTGTGCGTGTGTTTGCGTGTGCGTGTGCGTGTGCGTGTGCGTGTGCGTGTGCGTGTGCGTGTGCGTGTGCGTGTGCGTGTGTTTGCGTGTGCGTGTGCGTGTGCGTGTGCGTGTGCGTGTGCGTGTGCGTGTGCGTGTGCGTGTGCGTGTGTTTGCGTGTGCGTGTGCGTGTGCGTGTGCGTGTGTTTGCGTGTGCGTGTGCGTGTGCGTGTGCGTGTGCGTGTGCGTGTGTTTGCGTGTGCGTGTGCGTGTGCGTGTGCGTGTGTTTGCGTGTGCGTGTGCGTGTGTTTGCGTGTGCGTGTGCGTGTGCGTGTGCGTGTGCGTGTGCGTGTGCGTGTGCGTGAAGTAAGGGTGAATGTCTGTAGGGCGAGACTGACCGTTAACCACCCTCGGGGCATGCTCCACCCCCCCCACCCCCTAGCTATACCCCGCCCAGTAAACCTCACTTCTTTTTTCTAACCCTTTCTCTAAAACCGTTTTTCATTCTCTTTTATCTCCTTTATCCCCGTCGGCAAAAAAAAAAAAAAAAAAAAAAAAAAAAAAGCAGAAAGCAAAAACAGATTTATCCTTCCAGAACTTTTCTTACTTTGCCTCAGCGTGTATAAAGTATTGCAACTTTATGGTGTTGAAAATAT